GATGCTCTGGGGGCGCGCTCTCTCTCTCTCCTCCTCTCTGCTGTGAGAGCCTGCTGCTGAGCGAAAAGACCGAGTGCTGACAGTACACTAAATAAGGACATGTGCTGGACACTTAAGCAGTTAGTCAGTTAGTCTATGTTTTTTATTACGTAAATACACCTTGTAATTAAGACTAACTGCATGGGACTGGCTGCATACAACTAACTGGAACATGGAAATATAGTTTTTAATTAAACTATTTTGAGATTCCATCATTCTGGTCCTGGAAAACTAAGAAAGAAGACTTTGGGAGCTTTTGTTTAATTTTTCTTTCAACCAACTTACTTTTACAATTAACATATCAGTAAGTAAATTGGTAAAAGGTTCTAAGAACTGAATAAGAGGTAGTAACTTACTTGTCCCCATCAGGAGTAGGTAAGTTAGAAATAAACCCTCTGCCAGTTTTCTTACTGCTACCTTGGCTAATGTTTTAAAAGGGAAGCATCTTAGGCCCCCCTCTTGAAGCATAAGCACACTCACAGCTATATAAGGATAATATAATTTAAGTAGAAGTAAACTCTAGCCAAATGGTAATTCGTTTTCTAAAGCACGGTGTATCAAATATTTTTTTAACAACAATTCTTTGTTTCATCTGCATGCTGCTGATCTCCTGTAGTCTGTATGCCACCAGGTTTTGTCTACATTCATGCACTCCATTAATTTCTGCATGCCATTTCTCAGGGTGGGTTTTCTGATGGTGATGACAGTGGACTATGCCTGCATAGTGTGCATATTGTAGTCTCTATTGGAAACCCTTGTGACAGGATGACAATGCAAGAGCATAATTGGAACATGGGGACAGAGCCTTTTCTCCCTTTAATAGTAAAAGCAAGGTAGAAATGTTATAAATAATAATAAGGTACATATTTAAAACATTGAAAATAATCTGCTGAAATTTACATGTTAAAGATTTTATGAGACTTTAGTTATTGACTTTACATATAATTTAATCCTTTGTGTGTCAAGCTGATATACTTTATAGGAGAAAGGCTATGCATTTTTTGTCAAATATATAATACATACCACACTGAATCAATTGAGGGGGCTTGAATGCAACATATTTACTGGTAGATACAATATGATCCACCAGTTTTTATTCGGTCCATTCAACCACGGGCCTTTAACCTGCTGGGATGATTTGCTGAAGTTTTCCTTCAGCCTTTATTTTATTGACTGAATGAAAATGTCTGTGTGCTCATGTTGTTAGACATAAAATAGGGGTCATTGTGTCTGATATATGTAACCTTTTTTCCCCCCAGATAATGAATGTAAAAGAACAGTTCTTCCTGTAATCAATAGCCCAGTGTGTTTAAAAAGCTTAGCTTGTCACTGTGGCTGAAAGCAAAGTCCTCTTTTGGGGTAGTAACGATCTCGGAGTGTAGGGGGTTTAACCGCTGCGAAATGAGTCTCCTGGAGGAACCCTATTTGAGTCCGCTGACGGTGTAGCTCAGAGAGGATCATCCTCCGCTTTTCAGGTATATTAAGGCCTCTAACATTATACGAAACCAACTTAAGTGGGGCCATAACGGTGTGAGAGATGGGGGGTAGAGACGACGGGGGGGTGGAGACACTAGGGGTTGAAAGGCGAAGAGACGAACAGTCAGTCGGCAACCGGCTGTAAGGGAGAGGGGAAGTAGGTAGAGAGACAGACAAAGAGTGGAAGAGGGGGTGAAGCGGGAAAACAACTAATGGAAGCGAACCGCCGCTTCCGAAATACCCTCACAAGGATGAACACCCAAGGAGAGTAGGGCCTATTGGGGGAAGCAACCAAAACAAGGGACTCGGAGGTATCCATACGCTCCGGGCACACGACTTAACACTTGATAATTCAAATTATAAAACAATAAACAACCAACTCTTTCCTCGTTATAAGGGGGGGAGGGGAGGGAGAAGGGCACTTGGTGTAAATTCGGACCGGTTCCACCTGAAGGTACAAACTTTCTTCTAATTACCCATGTAAACTGTAACTCTGCATGTTAGGGGCATAGGTATATAGCCCTGAAGGAGGGAAAGCTCACCAAGCGCTTAGTCCCCGAGAAGCTCACCCGCCCCATCCGGTCCACCGGTTCCGGCGGAACAGAAAGGGGAGGATACATACAGTATCTATCTACCTCGCGAGTGAGTCAAAGCCACCATGGGCCATCCCCTGCAACTTGGCATGACGGACGAGCTCCGCGGGGACTTCCTAGACACTTAATCAGCCCACATGAATTATGGATTAACCTAAGGTAGGGCATCAGGGGGTAGGGAGCACTTGAGAAAAGAACATAGCCGAGTATTATAACACAAAACCATACAATGCACGTCCTATTAGTCAATAGTGCATAGATTCGGTGACCTGCGGCATGCGGGGAGGCTATGGAAAGAGCGATGTAAGTGGTGAGTCGGGCCCGGAGCTTCAGGGTCTCACTCCTCACGCGTCCATGGCCTGGCCACGCCCCTCTTGTTCTATTTTTTAAGCTTTGGATATAGCAGGGAATGTTTAGTACATCAACATTGCAGTCTGTGTCTCCACAGAAGAGATGCATCCTATTTATCCTGGTAACCATTGTCATCAGGAGCAAATGTGATACGAGATTTAACATGTTAACAGTGGTCACCCAAACAGTAATAGAAGGAAAATATTCCAGTTGAGATACCTTTTCCGGTGACAGTTTTCTAGGAGAGGACTTTAATGTATGCATACTATATGGGACTTAGAATGTATACTATATCCTCCAGCCAGAGGCGTAACTAGAATCTTCAGGGCCCCAGTGCAAGAAACCATGAAGGCCCCCCCAACCACCATGGCACCGCATGGTTAACAGGAAGGCTGCCGAGGTCCCCAGCAAGTGCGGGACCTCGGGCAGCCGCTTGTTTAAAATTTCAGTGCGGTGTTCTGTCGAGAACGCCAACCCAGTATCTGTGTTTATGTACAGACGGGATTAACGAGGAAATCGGCATTTATTTACAAAGTATTAGTTTGTAATGGTTAATTGTGACCGGTAATAATATACCGTCCATGGCCGTATATGACGGATGGAATATTATTAACGGTCACAATTAACAATTTAAGCTAAATACTTTGTAAATAAATGCCTGTTTCCTTGATAATATTGGTCTGTGAGCAAGCACAGATGCTGAGGTCGGCAAATTCGACGACATTGGCGTTCTCGACAGAACACCGGTATCTGCGTTTAGTATCGGCGCATTTTCATGAGTATAAGTACTCGTGAAAATGCTCAGTATTGGCAGTGGTGTATCCCTACTTAAAAATATAATGCATTGCTGGGACTTGTAGTCCTACATAGTTGGAGCTATTCTGCATTGCTGTATAATCATCATACAGCAATGCCGAATACCACCAGCTATGCGGGACTACAAGTCCCAGCAATGCATTATGATAAAAGTGAGCCACTATATCACCAGCACCCGCACCCACACACTTCCCCGCCTACATGTTAATGTTTGTGTGTGAAGATTTATGCCTAGTGAGAGCAGGGCAGCAAAAATATCTGCGGAGCTAGCTTGCTGGAAGATGAAGAACGATCTCCCTTTGACCCCCAGGTGTGTGACCTGTCCCTCGCCTCCTTACCTTCTTCTCTGTATAACGGCTCTCAGCAGCAGGAGAGGTGGGGGGACATCTGAGGGTTGTCGGCAGAATTGCCTGATGCTCTGTTCCTCGCTGCTCAACTCAGTAAAGAAAAAAAAAAAAAAACAACAACAAAACTTTATAACCCGGCTGCTTGCCCAAAGCTGAGCTGAACTGCATGTCCGGGCGTCGGGCGATACAAATTCCGCACCCCTGAGTAAATGCAAATTGCGACCCTGGTAGTTCCGCCAGTGCCTCCAGCACCAAAATGATTGAATCTCAAAAGTTTAATTATAAACTATATTCCCATGCTTCTTTTCCAGTGACAGCTATATAGGAGAGGGTTTACCCTCACTTTGCAGGAATTTCCTTTCACTTCCTGTTTTGTCTCCTAGAAAGTTTTCTGCTTTGAACTTGCTGTATAAAGCCCTTCTGCATTGAAACTGTGTTTGTTTGTTGCCCTGCTGAATAAAAGAATAGACCTGTGTGGACTGTCCCCGGGTGCCTCTGTCTCATGTATGGTTTGTCCCTGCAAATACCAGTTGAGAATCCCCCTTTGCAGTATTAAATAACTTGCATGTAAAGCATTACCATTACAATGATTTCTATTAAGTAAATACATATAAATATACTGAGATTCAATTGATTCTGGTGCTGGTAGAGAATATAGTATACATCCATTAAAGTACTATATAGTTTTACTGTACATCTGTTAAAGGCCTCCCCTGGATAGCTGTCACTGGAAAAGGTGTCTCCATTGAAAGATATCCTTCTCTTCCTGCTTGGGGGACATTTGTTAAAATGTTGGAATACCTATCACTATTGCTCTTAATGACAATGGTCGCCAGTAGTGTTTCCTAGAAAGGAAGTGAAGAAAAGTCTGCACAATAGGGTACAGGCAGAAAAAGATACTGATATTGGTTATAACCATTCCTTTTCTAAAAAAAAGTTTTGGTTATAGATTCACTTAATACAATCACATGCACAGATAATAAGAACTTTAGCCAATGTATTCTAAATGGGACATATTGCTTGCAGTTACAGTAAAATGCTACTCTTCTTGACCTGTATTGTGAATAAGCTGGCTTGGGCTGTTTGCTCTGAATTACCAGTGGCAGCTTTTCACGATGCTGCTTATAGGCAGGAACAGCTTTTCCTTTGTCTTAAAATGAACTGAAATGCTAAGTACATCGCAATGTGTATATGGTGCCATTAACTTTTATTAGACAGAGTTATAAAACTACTTTTCAGAATGGTTTACTCCATTCTAAATAATAGGTTATTTTAATTCCATTCATATCTGATGCTTATTATATACTGCATGTGAACTTTTATAGTTATGTCAAGGTATCAACATGTCCATAATGTCTATTTTTTCTTTATTCTTTAGATCCTTCTGAATTTAGCTGTAGAGAGCTGCATTCCACTCAGTATATTACAGATGGTCCATGCCGCAGTCTGAAGCCAGCCAAAGAGCTGGTCTGTTCTGGTCAATGCATACCCTCTCATCTCCTACCAAACTCCATCGGTCGAGGAAAATGGTGGCGCCAAAGCTCATCAGATTACCGCTGCGTGCCGGCCCACAGTCACACACAACGCGTTCAGCTCTTATGCCCTGACAATGAAGTGCGGACATACAAAATCAGACTGGTCACATCATGTCGTTGTAAGCGCTACACTCGCTTCCACAACCAGTCAGAGTTGAAAAACATTGGCAAGGAAACGGTGAAGACTTCAAAGAACAAGAAACCTCATCTTGTCAGGATTCGAAATAAATCGAATCAACGTGAGCTAGAAAATGCCTATTGAACTAACAGTAAATCAAGGGTTAATGTATATGTATGTTTTAAGAGATATACAAATAGTGTTGATTTATACAGCACACAGATTAAATCTGGATACATTTCAGATTATGGTTTAGGTATTATCTAGACTAAACAGAGTAGAGATCTAAGGAGAGATTATAAAAGAATGGCTGAAATAAAGTCGGGGAAAGAATGTATTGAATATATCCTTTACGTAATAATATATTTTCTATACTGAATAGTGAGTCTATCATTTGTTTTTTGTCATAAGTATCGTCCATGCAGTTTAGTACATGATTGACAGGCAGAGACAGGCTGCCTATAATAAAAAATGTTTGCAATTTGTGGGCCTGATTTACAAAGGGGTCAATTCACTAAGCTGCCGAAGGACCTAGCCGTAGCTTTGGCTGATCCTTCGGCTAGTGTCGGCCCCAGGACCCCTTCGGTTCAGTAGAACCGAAGGGCTGCTGGACGGGCTATTCACTATACCCCGTTTCCATTTAGTTTGGCTATTTACTCACTGCTGTTCGGCATCTGAGGATGAGGCCGAACAGCAGCGAGTAGCCTGCCGGAGGTTCAGCTTAGCCGATCCAGATATTGGAACAGCTGAGTCGAACTCCTTCTGCACTTCGGGTCGGCCGAACATGCTCAGCATGTTCGGCCGACC